TTTAATCTCCAGTACGAGAGAGAGAGAGAGAGAGAGAGAGAGAGAGAGAGAGAGAGAGAAAGGGATAAAGAAAGGTCCTTAGGCATTAGCAGTGCAAAACTGAGTTGAAAAGTAAGAAATTTTTTAAAAAAAGTGACCAAACAACAGAACAAGTACAAAACAACAATTCAAATGTTGCCCCAAGTGCCCTATGGAGTGTGGAACTAAGTGTCCATAGGGAGCTGTTAGATTTGCCTCTCCCTCCCCAAGGTGCCCTTTCCTAGGTGCATAATGCAAGCTTAGTTCCATCTCTCAGGTTTCAGCAAAACACTGGACAGAGAGTGTCCTTGTGCTCCCTTTTAGAAGCAAGATTCTGGCAACTACACATAATCCAATGTTTCTTTTCTTCCGTTTTTATCATCTATAATTTTCTTCCTTATTTGGCAATGCTTTCTCTTATTCATTAAAATGTATATATACAAAATTAAGGCAAATTATAAAAACACCTTCAATAACTCCTAGTGGGCGTGGTGGTGCATGCCTCTAATCCGAACAACTTGGGAGGCTGAGGCAGGAGAATCACAAGTTCTAAGCCTGCCTTGGCAACTCAGCAAGACCCTTTCTCAAAATAAGAAATAAAAAGGGCTAGAGGTGCTGGGGTTGTGGCTCAGTAGTAGAGCGCTTGCCTTGCATGTGTGAGGCACTGGGTTCAATTCTCAGCACCACATACAAATAAATGAATAAAATTTAAAAGTTCATCAAAACTAGTAAAAATATATATAAAAAAGAGGGTGCTGGAGATGTAGCTCAGTGGTCGAGCACTTGCCCAGCATGCCCAAAGCCCTGAGGACAATCCCCAGTACTGAAGGGCAGGAGGGAGTTTATCCAGGAAAAACGATCACATTTACAGAAGGATATTTTATGCAGAAGATCGTTCTTTTTTTAAAATATTTTAAATTCTAATTAGTTATACATGACAGTAGAGTGCACTATGACACATCATACATAAATGCAGTATGATTTCTCATTCTTCTGGTTGTACATGATGTAAAATCCCACTGATTGTGTAGTCATATTTGTACATAGGGTAATAATGTCAGAAGATCATTCTTTGCTCCGTTGTGGCACAAATGAAGAGAAATCTAAATAGTCAACAAAAGGAGAATGACCAAATAAATTCCGTGGTAAATTATGTTGCCATTAAAACGAACTTTCCCAATAAATTTAAATATTATAAGAAAATGATCAGGAAAAAAATAAAGAAAATGATCAGAGTATAATATTAAATTGGAAAAAAGGCAATGTGTATACCTCTCATAATGTGAAAATCCATTTATGCATCTACATAGCCATAGGGAAAAAAATTGAGGGGAAAATACTAAGTTATTAACAAAAGTAGAATAATTTTTCTATATTTTGAGGTTTTCCATACTGAGCATGTATTCTTTTTCCTATAAATAAGAAAATAATTTTTCTGAATATTTTTAAAAACATTAAACATGAGATTTGGATAAAAACCTAAGTTTATTTTAATAATTTTAAAGAGTGATATAAAATTATACATGTGTTGATTCTTTAAAATCATATTCACATCAAATTTAAATACAAATATTATGTTTTAAAAAGTTGGAAAGCTGGGTGTGGTAGCACATGCCTGTAATCCCAGCAGCTCAGGAGAATGAGGCAGTAAACCTCAGCAAAGTGAGGCGCTAAGCAACTCAGTGAGACCCTGTCTCTAAATAATTCAAAATAGGGCTGGGGATGTGGCTCGGTGGCCAAGTGCCCGTGAGGTCAATATCTACCCATGGGTTTATCGGATGGGTTAAATGAAATCGTCTTTGTAAAGTGTTCACACAGAGCCTGCCTGGTAGGCGCTGGGCAGATACTGTTCTAAAGTAATCAGCTATCTTAGCTGGTGGTGTAGCTCAGTGGTAGAGCACTTGCCCAACTTGCACAAGGCCCTGGGTTCAACCCCCAGCACCACAAGGAAAGCTTTTTGATGATGCTCCCCTCCCTGCTGGCTCTTTGCCAGCCTCTGCCTATGAAGGAGTTGGGGCACTACCCATTCTCCCCGCTGGCCAGGCCTTGGGTCTGGGAGAGTAGCTGACCTGCCTGGGTCTCCCCACAGGTGGCAGCCGAGTATTTCAAGAACACCACTCTGCTGCTGGTGGGTGTCATCTGCGTGGCAGCCGCCGTGGAGAAGTGGAACCTGCACAAGAGAATTGCCCTGCGCATGGTCTTGATGGCCGGAGCCAAGCCGGGCATGTGAGTGGCACTCGGGACAGCCAGTACATCCAGCCTGTCAGGTCGCAGTGGGATATTCGCGGTAGCCTGTCGTTCTATTCATGGGGGTGGGGGTAATACTAGAGTTGTGGGGCTCCCATCCCCTAACAATGAGAGTTCCTTGTGGCCGTGGAATATAGATTTGAATCAGTGACCCTGGTGTCACCGTCAACAGAACCCAGAAAACTTACCTGGTAACCTAGACTGCAAAGGCAGCGGGTTAAAACATACAAGGGGCTCATTAGGTAACACCGGGGCCAACCTTTCTCGTGTCTGTCAGGGAGCAGGCTGGAGGAGGAAGTAGGTGTCCTCTCTGTCATTTAAGGAACTGTGGATGTTTTCTCCCATCCGCCCACCAGTTTTTGTTATGGCTTCAGAGCAGACACGTTAGACATGTTGCATTGACGAAGCTCTCAGCTGCCTCCTCTTTCCACTGTGTCAAGAAGGCCACGTGGGAGAGACTGGCCCCTGGGGGCATGCATGGGAATGTCGTGGTTGATGCTTTGGGGAAGCCTCCCTCCTGCTGCCCTGGGCACCTTCCTGTGTCAGCCCTTCTTGCTTCTTCTGGTTTACAACTATTACATGTCATGGAAGGTGTATTGACTCTTGGGAGTGGGCATAGAAATAGATCATTTATAGTATTACTTTTCAAAATCAGTCCCTTAGTCACATAGGCTTTGCCTATGCATATGCTCCTGTCTCCTAGATCATCAACTGCGGCTGCTAACTGCCCCTCCCCAGCTATTTTGTCCCTACATTCCATCTCCTAGGCCCATGGCACTGTTCCCCCACATCATGGTGGGACTCTGTGGCTTTGGGAAACCTCTGTGTATTGTCTTTAAGAATTTTTGTCCACTTGTGTTTCCACTCTTCCCTCATACCACATCACCTAGCACATTCCCACCCTGCTCAGTCTCCACCCAGTTGCCAAGGCATGTGCAGGCCAGAAAAACTCACGTTGCTGTCAGCCTAAACAGAGCACCCCCAGGAAAGGCCCCTGCTTCGTCACAATCACATGACAAGTGTACTAGCCCGAAATTGTGTGAAGTCGATGATTCCACCTAAAATCGCAAACACAGGTGATATTGGGGGTGGCTTATCTTATGGAAACATGTCTATGCAGGCACATTGCACAGTGTTTCAAAGTCAAAGAGAAAGCATTTGAAGGTTATCTTCGTTAGTGTTTTCCTCCAAGTGTTGACTGTTTTAGATACCAGATGAAAGAGTTCACACAGTGGTATGGAACACTGCTGTGACTTTGGGGCCACACTTTTAGCATGTTGACAGTGGGATGTATAGTGGGCAGACTGTGAGCCCCTAACATTAGTCTCTATTTAGTAACAACTATGGTGACTTGGCTGCAAAGTAGGAAATACAATGGTACTCAGAATTGCTGGCTACAAGGGCAGAAGATTTCCCTTGCCAGGTACACATTTGTAATCCCAGCAACTCAGAAGGCTGAGGAGGAGAATTCTAAATTCAAGGGCAGCCTTGGCAAGTTATTGAGACCCTGTATATAAAGAGCTGGGGGTGCAGCTCAATGGTAAAGCACCCTGGGCTCAATCCCCAGCACCACCAGAAACAGAACAAGAATTCCCTTATGCACAGGAAACACACTGCTAAGCTCCACATAATATCCACACGGAGAGAAGAGCAAACAGTAGGTCCACACCCTGTGACCTTCTATCAGAGCTATTCTTTGCTTAAGCAAGGGCTTTTTCCTGGCTAAGGTCACTAGCCCATGAAGTATGATTCATTCATGTGACAAATAATGAAATTAAGGCTCATTCAGTGCCAAGCACTAGGAGTACAAAGCTGAATGGCCCGGTGGGTAAAAGCCGGCTACAGATTCTAAACCAATGCCGTCAGATAGAGAGGAGGCCCCAGGAGGGTTCTGCGGGATCCGCCATTGGCCCGGGAGATGGGCACTCTGCTAACACCCTGCCGGCCACCTTGCCTTCCAGGCTGCTGCTCTGCTTCATGTGCTGCACCACGCTGCTGTCCATGTGGCTCTCCAACACCTCCACCACGGCCATGGTGATGCCCATCGTGGAGGCCGTGCTGCAGGAGCTGGTCAGTGCCGAGGAGGAGCAGCTCGTGGCGGGCAACTCCAGCGCCGAAGAGGCCGAGCCCATCAGTACAGTTTGCTGGAGTTCATCTCCTCTCTGCTCCCCCAACCTCCCCTCTGGGTGCCCTGCCGGTCTTCTCTCGTGATATTGCCCAGCTTGGTGCCTGTCCCCATAACCCGCTCATTCCCACTTTCCCTCTCTTCCACACCAGCTCTTCCTTCCTCCTTCACTTATGGGCATCCCCCTCTGCTCTTTCCCCCCAAGACGCTCAGGAGTTACTACAAAGCCGAGGGCCTTGTCTCTGTCTATGAACTCCACTGTATCAGAGCAGAGAGAAGGGGGATCGTCACCCAGAACACCCCCTGCCCAGCCCGATCCCTGGCTGCTCTTCTACCCAGGTGTCAGCTCAGCACCACATCTCATTTCTCACATTTCTTTGCTACTGTAGGTCTCGATGTAAACAACCAACCATCTCTGGAACTCATCTTTGTCAATGAAGAGTGAGTATGACTGTCCTCTCCCCAGACACAGCCTTGTGTTTCCCATTGGAGAGGTCAGGAAAGATGCAACTATAAATAGCTCTTTTAGATGTCTGGGCCAATTTCACCATCCTCTCTCCATCCCTCAGAGTCCCTCGCCAAGATCTTTAGGGCAATTCCCTTAACTCCAGAATACTGCAGTGCTGGAGAAGAAATAGAAAGACCAATACTGAATCTGAGTGGATATAGGAACTGTCAATCCAGCCACCAGGTACAATTTCATCTAAATTGATGTCCTCTTAGAAGAATATTTTTTAATGGAAAAACATACAGTAGATGTTGCTAGAGGTTCTTGGAGAATCACTGAATATTTTATAAATATTAGATATAGTCTTACTAGATTTGGTCTTAGATATGGCAGAGAAAAATTAGGTGACAGGGGATTAGGAGCCAGTTGGTGACACAGCCCTGTAATGGTAGAAAAGGAAATGTGGGAAAGGAAAAATTAGCCAAACATTTATGGGAAATAGATCCATTAACAACTTATTTCTTTTGGAAATGCTGTGTGAAAATGTCATCTTTAAGGTATTCTGTGACAAATATTACACATTTAAAATCTGGATTTGTAAGGGAGCTGGGCTTTGTAATTTGCTGTTTTCATAAAAAAATCAAAATCTCACATTGTGTGAAATTAGCACAATGGGATAGATGACAGAGGATACCATCAGAAAATGGTTTCGTTTTTCTCTTCCACTGCCTCAATCATAGCCCATTGGCTTTCCCTCCCCCACCATTTCCCTCTTCTGGCTTTTAGATACAGTGATCTCATTTTCAGATGCTCAGCAGTCTAGTCAGATTCTTATCAAAACTGCAGTCTCTGGTCCACAGCTCCCCCCACCCCCGCCCTTGTGTCCAGGCCCAGCCTGCAGAAGAGCTGAAAGCCAGTTGGGGAGGGAGTTGATCTTCTCCTCCCCACTCCTCCCCTGCTCCCTGTCACTCTCCTGCTTCTGACTTCTCCTGGGCTGGGGCAGAGGCTGAAGGGTGCAGGCACAAAGGGTCTGGGCTGGAGCCAGGGCAGCCTGGGGTTGATGCCCTCTCTGAGATTCACACCTTCCTCTTTCACTGTGGGGCTCCCACCTTCAGGAGTTCATCCCCTTGAGCCTGGACTGCTGCTGGATGACCACTGCTCCCCTCCTTGGTTCACTCACTCCCCCGCAGCCCCTTGGTTCTTGGGCTGCCTCTGCCTTTTCCAGCGGGCACCTGCCCAGCTTCCTTCCATATGTCCCTGCTCCCAAAGGATTCAGCAGCAGGCTGCCCTGTAGAACTGAGAGCTCAGACTGCTCTAGTGAAGGTGGGTCTTTTCTCCTCAGTCTGGCCTCTCTGCCCTTTTGCACCGACTTGTTTGCTTTTTCCATGTACAATTGTGTCCCCAAATTCCAAAGTGAAAGCTCAATTTGACCTCTCCTAGCATGCTCTGAGCTGTGGATGCTAAGTCTGTTTGGCAGTCTTCTCGCATGGCAGCGCCTCTCCTGTAGTCTAAAGAAGTCCTTGCCTGCCCTCATCAGCCAGGTTAGGGAGAAGGGAGGGAAACATAATGGCACGTTTTCCAAAGAACGCATCATTCCAAACCTCTGTCACCTCCTCTCCTTCCCTGTGAGAGCCTGAGATGGGTGGTGGCGCAGGACATCATGTCCTGCATGTGTGTGCCCAGTGTTCTCATCTGGCTTCACAGTGGGTGAGCTGGTGGCACCCGCTGTCCTCACAAACTGAGAGAGTCAGCAATTCTGATGGTTCTCATCTTCCTCTGTGTTCCTGCAAAGGCTGGCCGATCCGCAGTTCCCATGGGGGACTCAGTATGTGCAGTGTGATCAGAAATCTTCCCCCATCTTCTCATTCTCACTTGCTTTTCCCTGGATACAGCCAGGCCCTCCCAGCTCCTGTTGCCTCAGATAAACATACCACAAGTCTCTCCTTTTAGATAGTGGCCTTTCCCAAGTCAGCCAGTAAGGACGTGGTCAGGGCGCAGGCTCCCTGTGAGACAGGGAGAGGCTTCTGTCTTAAGAGGAGAGAAAAATTAGGTGACAGGGGATTAGGAGCTGTCTTTACACCACTCACATCCCAGTGCTAAGTAGTGATGCAAATGCAGGTAGTGACACCTGTGCCAAGGATCTGTTGTGAGGACTAACGGTGTCACAAGGAATAATGTCTTCAGTGAAGTGCTTCGCACCTGACAAGCACTGCATGTTCATAACTTTACTAGTGTTAGTGTTATTCCAAAGAAAGCACACTGCCTCTGCCCTCGGAGGGGAAGCAGACTCTGGCTGCACGAATCTTACAGTACCCTTGCAGCATCTCAGAAGGCAAGGACGATTCAGCTAGAAAACTGAGTCCACAGTCAAGTCCCTCACATCAAACCCCGACATGGGGAAAAGAACTCCTGTATAATGAAATATGGCCCACTATGGTTTCCGTTTGCTTCTTTCTAGCACGTCAGCTGCAGACTTCACTTCTCTGATGCAAAACAAGGTATGGCCTTGTGTTTTTTCTGTGCTTTGAGATTACTTGAAGGTCCCTCAAGGTAACTTAGGCATCAAGAACCTGTCAACTTATCCTGTATCCCAGCAGCCTCCACGGACATAAGGGCAAAAAGGTTGTCACACAGGTTAGATATAAGAGCCAGTCAAGCTTGTGGCAAAGTCCTGGATAGTCCAAGCCCCAGCCCTGAGTACTGGGTTTAGCCACATAAAATACAGTTAAACCATTAAAAAAAATTATTTTTAGTTTGGACACAATACCTTTTTTTTTAATGGGTGCTGAGAATTGAACCTAGTGCCTCATAAGTGCTAGACAGCACGCTACCACTGAGCCACAACCTAGCCTAGTTTAAAATTTCCATGGAAACCCATGAAAACCATTCAGATTTCAAGAGCCAATAATTCAACCTTAGGATTTTTCTGAGGGGCTTCCATTCATAACATCCTGTTACATAAAGGGGTACATTTATAGAGGAGAGCAATGCTTACTTGTACACTGCTGCTCAAACTCAGCCTCCACCCCCAAAAGCCAGTTTTATGGATGTTCATGAGAAGCACAAATGGCTGATAAAACTGTGGACTTCTTGTGGTGGGATTTAATTTTTTTCTTTCTGTTAAAAAATTCTAAAAATATAAATAAATAAATAAAAATAAAAAACAAAATGATGCAAGTATGAAGATATATATATATATAAATTCTAAGAAGTTCTTCATTAGCTAATGAAGTCCCAGAAAGTCAGGCTCTCCTGAAGGACACAGCCATGTCTGCCAGGTTGTGAAAGCCTCTTCACATGGGGTGCCTGATGCTGGCGGGATGGGAAGCTGTGAAGATGGCTGGAGATGGGCCTGGTGAGGTGCACGTCCTCCCTGATATCTGGTCTGCAATTCCCATGGTGCCAGGATATGGGGGGACCCTGGGATGGCTAGGAATACTTCTTCAGGCATTTGCCTCACCACGTCCTCTTCCTAATAGTGTGATGGTTTTTGTCCCAACAGAACCTGAATGGTGTGCCCACGATCACCAACCCCCTCAGAACAGCAAACCAACGCCAAGACAAGAAGCAGCCATCCCAGGTAACAGAATCCCACCTTCTATTTCCTACCCACAATGCCTGGAGCTCCCCAAAGTCTTGGGACTGTGAAGGCTTCAGGCTCATGAGCTGTCACCAATGTCTGGCCTTTGTGCACCATGACAGTGAAGGTCCACACGGCTCCATCAAGGCCTCCCACTACCTGGGCCCAGGCTTCCCAACTGCAAATGCTGATGGTTAGTCAAGACCAAAGGTGCTCAAACTATGCCTCAAAGGTGCTTCAGGGACACTGCAAATACTTTGTTTTAGTGTCCTGAGATACTAAAGCAACTGTTTTTCTGCACAAGTAAGGGCTTTCCTGGTTCTATACCACAAATGAATTGTAGAAACCAAATGAATGTAAAAACTAGTAAAGAATGGCTACTGTCACTACCTTGATTTCAAATTTTTGTGTTCATCAAAACAGTCTTGATTAGTTAACATCCATCATCATCATAAATAATTGCCACCATTTATGATGTACTGATTATGTACCAAGCATTTTCTCCCCAGTCTTGGCTCAGTGAAGCAGTGATTTTGAACTCCATGTTTTTGCAAATGAGACAGAATAATTAAATCATAACCCAAGGCCTGAGAGCTTGAGAGAGCAGCATCTTGATTCAAATCCAGGTGTCCCTGACTGTTATCAAATCAATCTATGCCAATGAAATGCTACTTTTATGTTTGATAAATTGGGTTTATGTGTAATATATCATCATGCAAACTGCCTGAACTGGAGAATCTAAGTGGGCCTTCCAGCTCTGATAACCAGTGAGTCTTTCAGAGGTTTGGAAGGGCCCAGCCTCCCTGTGGCTCTCCTTGGAGGAGGGGGCAATGGTTAAGGGCCATGAGAAACAGGGCAAGGCAGCCTCTTCCCCACTGGTTTTCTTATAACCTGACCTGCTGACATCTTCACCAGGCTTCTCTGAGTCTCATGAAGAATCAGGGAGGGTGACCAAGTGTTGAGCAGGGAGGAGACTCTTCCTTCTTTAGTGCACTTGAAACCAGAGATCACCTCTGTGACCTGAAAATCCCTTATCTGGCCCAAGCAGAGCCTGAGAGGACCATGGCAAGGATGAGGCTTATAGGCAAGGTGGGGAGGAGAAGGTAGAGAGGAAAGAGTGAGGCAGACAGGGAGGAGGCCCACACTTCAACCCTCGTCCCACGGAAGCTAGGTTTTCATCAGGACTATCACTCTACTCCACACCGAATAACCGTCTTCTGTTGGTTCTAACACAATGTGGAGAGCAACTAGCTTTACTGGAGTTCAAGCGAACAAAAACAAAACCACAAGCATGCTCTCAATATTCATAACATTAATAAACACAAAATCATAATAGCTTACCGATCAGTAAATATCAGGAAGTGATCTAAGTGACCACTATAAATCTGGTCACCTCACTCCCTGCTTAACTTTCCTTGGATATATATATCCAAAGTGATATATATATATGTGTATATATATATATATGTATATATATTCATATATACACACACATACACACACACTTATATATATATTTCATTTAGTTCATTTACTCCTCACAACAATGTGGCAGAGAAAATATGATTTTTCCCATTGTACCGAAGAAGAAACTGCAGCCCAGAGGCATGTCCAGGCTGGAAAATGATAGAAACTGGGATTCATTTTCTGATTCCAAAGCTCAAAACCTTTCTGCTATACCAGGTGTCTCCTGCCTGTCAGGCTTTGTGTGCTAGACAGGCCAAGCTGGTGCAGATACTCACTGATTTTCCTTTGGTAGGAAAAGCCACTTGGCCTTACCCCCAGCCCCAGGAATCAGAAGTTGAACAGAAAGTATAGGTCCCAGCATGACCAAATGATCTGCAAGTGCCTCTCTCTGAGCATTTCCTACGCTGCTACCATTGGCGGCCTGACCACCATCATTGGCACCTCCACCAGCCTCATATTCCTGGAACACTTCAACAAGTAAGTCATTCACTCAGTCAACCAATACTTACTAACCACCCACTGGGTGTCAGGAACCGGACCAGGTGCTGGCAGAAGTCAAGAGGGAAAGAGACCGTCAAGTTACTGCAGTTGAGTATGACCAGGGAAGCCAGAATTCTGCTAGGAGAGCTCACGAGCTCTGCAAGGAGGAAGTGCCTCCCCACAGAGGTGACAACAAATGGCCATCTGAAGGCTGAGCCATAGCACACCAGATGAAGGGCGATTTCCCACAAAGAACACAGCATGGAAGAGGCTCCGAGGCAGGAGAGAAGAGCACAAAAAAACCAAAGGCCGAATGTTTTCTCTAATATGTGGATGTTATTCACAATAAGGCAGGGGGCACTAGAGAAGACAGCGTTACCTTAGATTAGGTAGAGGAAGTGAAGGGAGGGGAGGGGAGTGGATGTGGGGATAGGAAAGATAGCAGAACAAAACAGGCATTATTACTGTATGTATATACGTGACTACATGACCAATATGATTCTACATGTACAATAAGAAAAATGAGAAATTATGTATATCAAAGTGCATAAATCAATTCTACTGTCATGTATAACTAATTAAAACAAATAAAAAATTAAAATGGTAAAGAAAGAAAAAAAAGTAAATGACGGAGCAAATGAGACCAGGCAGGAAGACGGGCAGAGACAAAGGGCTAAGAAGGAGCATGGACATCAGCCGGAAGGGTGTGAGAACCCTTTAAGGAGAGCTAAGCAGGGAGAGAGGTGACCAGGTTTATAGTTTTGAGAAATCATGCTGTGTGACAAATGGAGAACAGATTGGAAAGGAGAAGGCAGGATAGTTTAGGACACTGCTGCCATTGTCCAAGAGATAGCTTTGGTAGCCTTGGATAACACTGGCAGCAGGTAGGAGAAAGTCACATCTTAGAGATACAGAGAGATAACTGGACGGGTGTTGGTAGCATCAGGAGGAGCCTGGGAGGGAGGGCCACGCCTGACTCTCAGCCCTCTGGTTTCAGCAATGGGGGGACTGGAGAGAAAAGATGAGAATGGGGAAGGTGGCAGAGGCTGAGGTGTGATGTTGGGGGCATGACTCTGAATCTCAAGAGAATTTTCTGGCTGAATAGATTTGGAGTTCATGGCCTGCAGGCTGGCACCATGCATGAGCAGCCTATTTGGTGACCCAAGCCACTGTGCTCCGAGTGGCCTTATGCTTGGTTTAATGCTGGCTGTCCCTCTAGAAACTCTTGATACTCTTTGAGCAAGAGGCCCACCTTTTCATCTGCCCCTGGTGATGGAAACCATAGGACTTACACTGTGACAGGGAGAGCAGGGGACAGGAAAGGGGAAATCCAGGAAGAGCTGTGTCATTCTACCCAGGAGGAAAGTGTTTCAAGGGGTGGCTACAATATTTCCTGTTAATGAAGGATGACATAAAATAGGGATAAAAATGCAGCCCTTGTGTTTGGGGACATGGTGGCTACCGGTAGCCCACGTGAGAGGGGTTTGGTCGAGTGGTGGGAAAAGAGGCCAGATCTTGGTGCCTTGAGGAGAGCTGGCTGAGGGAAGGAGGGGTGTGGGGTGATGGCAGAGAGGGAAGGAGAGAGAAGGAGAGGTCTGAAGATGGAAGACACTGGACTCTGGTCAGGACGATCCAGATGAGAGGGAAATGGAGTATGGGGGAGAAGGGTCATGGACAGTGATGCCACCAGGGATGGGATCCAGAGCTGAGCGCAGCTGATCGTGGACCACAGGAGGAGCCCGACTTTCCTTCTGGAAGGAAGGAGAAGGAAAGAAAGAAGGGAGAGGATGGAGAGGAAGGGAGAAGGAGGGAGGAACGAAGGATGGAAGGAGGGAGGGAGGAAGCATGGAAGGAGAGAGGAAAGACAAATTAAAATGAAGACGTGACCCTGCAGGAACCAAGCCCAGTTCTTCCAGGCTGTTTTTCTTGGCATGTGAGCAGATCACCCACCTTTTATTTTGCTGATATATGTATGTGCTTAGCGGTTCCAAGTCCTGGTTCTTTGATGGGCACCATCCATACCTGGAACCCTTATGAGGTCCCAGAGCCCACAGTGATCTAGAATTGGCTGCAGTATATCACCCCACTGCTCCCCCGTCAACACTCAAGTGGCTTTATGACAAAGTGCACCACCTTTCCTCTCCATTCTGTGGTCTTGAAAACCAGAGGAGTTCAACTTCTCAAAACCTTTATGTAAATTAAGGGCAAACAGGTCCTGAGTAATTCTGAGTGTACTCAGGAGAAGATATGTACTTCAGTGGTATTGATTTTAGTTTCTTAAATATGTGTGTGTGTGTGTATATATTTATTTATTTATTTTAGGCTTACTTCTTTCTTCTTGTCTTTCTTCTTGTACAGTTGCAACAAATAAATTAATGACTTGTAGGTAGAGTCATCATATTGTAATCATTAACTCTCCCTTTACCCGGCTGTGTGTGTTCTTAGGGAGTATTTAGCTGTCAACCCCCAATATCATTTGGAAACCCTTGCTTTTCTAATTGTTGACATGGTCTTTACCCTCCAGCCAGTACCCAGCCGCAGAGGTGGTCAACTTTGGTACCTGGTTCCTCTTCAGCTTCCCCATATCCCTCATCATGCTGGTGGTCAGCTGGTTCTGGATGCATTGGCTGTTCCTGGGCTGCAAGTGAGTCTCAAGTCCGTGCCAGCAAAGCACTGCTGGAAGGCTCTGCTCAAAGCAGGTAGTAACCAACAGGATGCCCGAGGAGAAGGCAGTGGACCACATTGGGAGCCAGATCTTGTCTCCTCTAGAAGCTCTAGACTTCTATGATTCTCTGTTCTAAAGTAAAATGTCCTTAATTTCAACTAATTATTAAAAGTATGAATTGGAGAGTGTTTAATGTAGTTTCATTGCTCTCAAAGAATATAGATTTATTCCAAGTACTCTTTAGAAATATGATTCCAGGACTAGGGTTGTGGCTCGGCAGTAGAGCGCTCGTGTAGCACGTGCGAGGCCCTGGGTTCGATCCTCAGCACCACATAAAAATAAATAAAAATAAAGGTATTGTGTCCAACTACAACTAAAAATTAAATATTAAAAAAAAGAAATATGACTCCAAGTAGAAGTTTCCTTTGGTTTGATTTTATAGGCGGGAGTCATATGGAACATGCACAGATCCTTCAAAAACAAGTTAAGTCTCTTACAGTATTATTTCTAATATTAATCTGCTTAGTAATCCTTTTCTTCATAATTATCTTTTCCAAGTTTGATGAGTTTCAAACACATAAAGGGAAGATACATATGATGTTTTGCTAAGAGTCCACGAAGCCTAACACTCTGCTGGTCAAGGGGTATTCTCAGAGCTGACTTCTCTTTTTACTCAGAGACTGTCATCAAACCACTGATGGCTGTATACTTCTGTAACTCCAATAGTATCATATAAAATTCACATCCATTTTTCCCCAGACAAGCCTTGTCTCTAGATAAATAAATGCACACGTAGACACACACACACACACACACACACACACACACACACACCTGTGCATATAGAACACATGGAAACACACATGCATGCAGACATACATACCACATCACACTGATTCTTTTCCTTATGTATGAGTATGTAGAAACAACCACATGTAAATGCTCCTGCGCAGATGCATATGACACACCAGAGCTGTGCCCAGATGGACATACCCAAGAGGCTGGGGGAGGCTGGTGCAAGGCTGGGGAACCAGGCAGACAGAAGCTGTATGAACAGCAGGACAGTGCACGTGAGCGAGGAGAAAGGCATCCCAGCAAACTGGTGGTTTGGTATCTGTTTGATATCTGATTTCCTCTGGGTCTCAGAAGTATGTTTTCTCTTTTGCTCATTTTCCCCTCTCAGCTTTAAAGAGACCTGTTCTCTGAGCAAGAAGAAGAAGACCAAAAGGGAAGAGTTGTCAGAGAAGAGAATCCAAGAGGAATATGAAAAGCTGGGAGACATCAGGTAAAACCTCAGCCACTGCCCTTGTTTCCTTGTCCAGGACAGAAACACAGCCAGTAAAGTGAAGCACAAAACAGCCTTGTTCCTGACAGCCCCTGACACTGGGCGAGTTTCCCACGTCTATGAATCCAGGCATTGAAATGTTACTTAATGCCCAGGCCAAGCTTGCCCAGACTGCAGTGCCACCCTTCCCTTTAGCTGTATTTGGAGTCCAAGGTATAGCTGTGGTGTGGGGGTGGAGTGTCGCAGACGAGGCAGCTGGGGAAAGAGCAACAGAACTATGGCACAGGGCAGTCTTGGAACATGCCAAATCCCCTCCCAAACTAGGACTCCTCACACTGCTCAAGTGGGCCACGGCAGTGAGCCAGCGATCATTCCTAGGGAACTGGGAGACTTGGTGCCTCTTAGAGAATAAGGCAGCATTAAAGACAGAAGTTTCAAGAAATCACTAACCAACGCTCAGCCACTTCTATTAGCATTTCCACACTGACCCAGCATTCTAACTAATGCTATTTCTCCTCTTATAGCTATTGGCATGTACAACTTTGGGGAAAATAATTCAGGAAGAACTATTTTTAAAGCTTTAAGTTATAAAAGGAATACATGTTCACCGTAGAACATTTATAAAACACAGGAAGTATAGACAACTGTTAATATTTCTTTTCAGGGGCTGGGGCTGTGGCTCAGTGGTAGCGCACTTGCCTGTTATGTGTGAGGCACTGGGTTAAATTCTCAGCACCATGTATAAATAAATAAAAAAATAAAGATCTATCAACAACTAAAAAAATTTTTTTTTTAAATTTCTTTCCATACTTTTTTTGTGCAACAGTACATGTATTTTTGGTAAAATTCATATTGAACATACCTGCATATCTTGCCTTTTCTCACTTATCATTGTACTATGACTATGTCCCCATGTCATGAATTCTGTTGTGGAAACATGACGATTAGCAGATGCATCTCATTTTAACAAACAGTTGTACCAAAATGCATTCAGTGTCACAGGAGATCATTGGATAAACAAAATGCTTGTTTCTCTTTTTTAATAGGTAATATTTCAGTGAGCATTTCTTGTTACTGTCTGAGATGAAGGGAAGGACCAAACTTAAGGCTCCTGATGTCTATATTTTGAGGTCAAATGACCTCAAAAATGTTGTACCCATTTCTACTCCTGCTAGCACAGTGTCCAATGCCCATTTCAATACCCTCTCCTTGTAGGGTGTAGGTAAAATTATTTTCATAAATGGGTAGTGCTGAAGTCTCTCCCTTTCCACCTAAATTTCTCCAGGACACGTGTTGAACTTCCTGTTTATTTTTTGGCATTGCTTGATTAGTCTTCTTCCTGCTTCACTGCCAGCCATTCTAGAGGCAAGCAGTGACTATGTTTTATGCCTTGAGAATTGCAACTCTGAATACAGGAGTTTCCAAAAGCAAAACAACAACAACAACAACTAAACCAAACTTCCCAGTTCCTGGAGTGGCTTATTCTGTTTGATTTTATAGCTACCCTGAAATGGTGACTGGATTTTTCTTCATCCTGATGACCGTACTGTGGTTTACCCGGGAGCCTGGTTTTGTCCCTGGCTGGGACTCCTTCTTTAAAAAGTAAGTAGTGATGTTTCTTCCTGAAGAACCAATCCATCACCCAGTTTCCTCTGGCAGTGACCGCTGGGGTCCATCACAGCTCTTAGGGGCAGACATGAGATATGAGACCAGAGAGCTTTTCATTCCCTGAGAAATCTGCTCCCTCTAGGGAAGCAGCAGTGTGGACTCAGGAAGAAAACAGTATTTCGAATCCCAGTCTGGGCTTGGGATGCAGCCACTACTCATCAGCTGTATGACCTTCGTCTTCTCACATGGGCTCTCTGGCCTTCAGCTGTCACACAAGGTGTTAGACACTGTCTAAAAAGTGCCAACTGTAAAGAAACTGCGCTACAGAGAGGCTGAAGCCTGTGGGAGGGAGGAGAGGTTCACACAGGATCCCATGCCAGGACCTCTGCGGGCCAAGACTAGACACAGGCCACAGGGTCTCCAAATACCAACTTCTCATTTGAGGAGGGAGACAGGTAGACCATGGTGGAGCTGTGGCCCCACAGGAAAGAAGACTCAGCCTTTTCTGTTCTTCCTTATCCAACGGCTCCTGATCACTTCTAGGACTCACCCCAACTAAGGGCCCATGAGTTTACACTAACACATCTCGCCCACCAGGCACGGCCTCCAGACAGTAACCATGAACTATGAATCCACTGTGGGACAGCTTGCCAGCAACTGGCAAGAAGTCAGGTTGCTGTCATCTCTAGACTAAATCCTAAAGAGAGGCACTGTGTTCAGACAGACTTTCTTATTCATAATACTTCTGAGGATTCCCAACCCCTCCTCCAGCCATGCTTGTGTCTTTGCTAGGAAAGGCTACCGCACTGATGCAACAGTCTCTGTCTTCCTTGGCTTCCTCCTCTTCCTCATTCCAGCAAAGAAGCCCTGCTTTGGGAAAAACAATGACGGTAAGAGAATGTTCAGGGGGAGAAGCTGGGGATGGCTTTAGTCACCAGAACACCCAAGTAAGAATGATTCAAAGGAGGCTTACCAAGGCCCTTCAGACTCCCCACAAAGCGGTACAGCCATTTCCCAAATCCTCCAATTCACCATGAGATCCCTAAATCTTCATAAATCATGTCCATAAATCTCCATAAATCATGTCCATCTCTCCCTACCTTTGATCTAGGTACAAGCCGGGAGTCCTCCCTACAGTCTGAGCCCATCATCACATGGAAGGACTTCCAGAAAACCATGCCCTGGGAGATTGTCATCCTGGTAGGAGGAGGCTATGCCCTGGCTTCCGGCAGCAAGGTAAATCCTCAATTCTGCTCTTCAGGGTCAAGTATGAGTCCAGAAGCTTTATCTAGAGAATCATTATAGCCCTAGGAAGAGGCTTAAAGAAGCTGAGGGAGAGGATGGTGGGTATCAGTCACTGGCATGGACAGCAACAGAGCAGGATAGATGTCCTGTCCATCCTTGACCTTCTCAGTGCTTCGGGGAACACAGTTACAGATCAGCTGTGATTCAGGTCATGGCACACCAGTATTGCCACCTCCTCTGCAGGTCCCACATTGCCACAAGCAAAAGGTTTGTTGGATTTTGTAGCCATTCCCTGGGCTCTGAGAGTGATATAGGAGATGAGTCTGTAAGGGCTGAGAAAAGCCCAAGTGATACAGTGGATTGTCCCTGTGGGTCAATAGCATAGACTGAACGTTTCAGAGAAGCTTTGCCGAAGCTCATGTAAAGTTTTCTTGGTTTCCCAGTTGGGAGCGTCTGGAATAAGACCCTTCTAATGGAGGTGGTGGGAAAGAGCTGAAGTGCTTTCTCTGGAATACAAAACGGTCCTAAGAATGAGTTGGGTCAGCTATGGAAATCAGTGTGGAGGCTCCTCAAAAGACTAGACATGGAACCACCAAATGACCCATACTCCACTCCTCAGTATTTATTCTAATGAATGAAAGTCAACTCATACAGTGATACATGTTTATAGCAGCACGATTCACAATAGCCAAACTATGGAACCAGCCTAGGTGTCCATCAGCAGATAAATGGATAAAGAAAATGTGGCATGTATACACAACAGAGTTTTATTCAGCCATAGAGAAAAATGAAATTATGTCACTTGTAGGAAAATAGAACCAGAAACCATCATGATAAGTGAAATAAGTCAAACTCAGAAGGTTAAGGGTCATATGTTTTCTCTCATATGCAAAAACTAGAGAAGAAAAATGAAAAGGTAAGGGGTGGAGGGGTCTCATGAAAATCAAAGGAAGATCAATAGAGGAAAGGGTCCAATGGATGAGAGGTGGAGAGAGTGAGGGGAAATGCTGGGGAGTAATACTGGCCAAATTATATTGTTATATTGTTTGCAGGTATAAATATATAACAACGTATCACACCATTATGTACAACTGTAATGCAACAATAAAAAAATGTAGGAGCCGGACATACCTGTAATCCCAGCAGCTTGGGAGGCTATGGCAGGAGGATCAAGAGATCAAAGCCAGCCTCAGCAACTCAGCAAGGCCCTAAGCAACTCAGCAAGACCCTGTCTCTAAATAAAATATATTTTTTAAAAAGAGCTGAGGATGTGGCTGAGTGGCTGAACACCCCTGAGTTCAATTCCCAGTGCCAAAAACAAAACAAAGCAGTGTAAAAAAAAGAAAAAAAAGAATGAATTGGGTTAAGGTTCAGACTGTTTCTCTCTCTCCCTTGCCCATATGAATGAGCCCATTCTAAAACATGTTTCACTTGCACTTGTGCATACTGATTATCAGTGACTGCCAGGGCACAGAATCCTACACTGGGAAGGATCCTCAGAGGACACTGAGCCCTGAGCCCCATCTCCTATGCAAGGTGACAGTCCTTTCCAGGATGCCAGGGCCTGGACACCCTTAATGACAGGGCACTCCCTATGTGAAGAACAGTTATTTAAATCCCACTTTGTTCTTTACTCTCCATGTATCATCACTGTTGGTTTTGGCTCTGTTCTCTGGAACCCTATCCTAGGTAATAATTAGTAAAATGATAGTTTTTAAATCTGTTTTTCCTACTAGAACTCCCTCACTCTTTTAGCCATTCTCAGAAAAGACTGCCATCCTGATCTCTCACCTCAGGACTCACTGTGGTTTACCTACCCTGGCCTTATTCAGACATGGCCCGGGGTGGTCAGTCTACTACAAAATGGACTATTACATTACCAAACCCATCTCCCACCTCTGACGTAAGCACCAGCCTACAATTTTATAGAAGCTTTTACGGGGCTTCTTGGGCTCTCAAGTCAATGTCAACTACAACCCTTCATCCTTCCCATTGGTAGCTACTATTAAACTGGAATTCCTTCAACCCATCCTGCATATGTGCTGTCAACATTTCTAATTCCAAGTATAAGATATTATATTTATCTTTATTGAATTTCAGTTGTTAATTTTGACCAGAGTCTAGCCTAGCAAGACCTTTCTTTTTAAATCAAAATTGTATATGTATTTCAGATAGTATAGGTGATGTTTCTGTAAAACCTATTTGGATAGGTTTGATTCTGCCAATTTTTAAACTTTAGTAATTCAGGTACAATCTATGTGACTCCTACTGAGTTTGAAATAATTTCAGAGTTGATACTAGTGAGGAAAATTCAATGTGAAATGTTCTCATACCCAGGGGCTTAAAAAATTAAGACTTCCTTCATTTTGTTTTGTCTGACTTTGCAGACTAATTTATCAACTTCTTTCAAATTATAGCATGAAAGAGTTCTACTGGAAAAATAATTGCCATTAAATTATGTCACTTTACTTATGAGTACTATTTGGATGATTTGGTAAATAAAACTCCATTTTTTTTCCCACAAAATGTACTATTTCCACTTAACTAACTGCTCTTCCTCCCTTGCCTTTGTCCAGTGAGTGAGGTTTAATGTTGTGAGAGGGAATAATTAGAGTTCCTGCAGCTGCAAGTGCTGTACCAACCATTGATTGATGCAGTCTTCCCATATTCAGTTTGTAACTCAGTCAGTTGGAAGAAAAAGGAAGAAAAGTTTCCAAGGTGAGATGGCTACAACAGAGAGAATTCTGGAGATCTTTCATCACAGTTGTCTGTGAGTTTGCAGGAAGCTGGTAAGGGAGCATAGAGATCAGATGAGCTTTTGATGAATTTGGGAAAGAGGAGAAAATGTGGCTTGCTGACAGCGTAGTGAAGGCATAGTAACATTTGAGTAGCAGGACTTTAGCTTGAGGAATCATAAAAACAACTCGCCTTGCTTTCTGCCCCTACTCTCCATTTCCCTCCTGCCTTGGCAGTCTGGGGTTCCACAGCAAAAGCCTGAGCATGTCAATCACAGAAGGGAGAGGAAGAGGGAGCAGAAGAGAAACGAATACATATGGCAACCTGGGGACTTTTAGTTCAAAAGCTCAATGGTGGCTTTCATTTTTTAGAAGAGGAGACATACTATTGGCAGATGAATATCTTCTAATCCAACGAATCATTCAAAGTGGGAATATTCATTTATTTGAGTGGATATGTACAAATATTGCTAATGGAAAAGGTTCAGAGTGAGCAATATGCCTTCATATCTGTGGTATGCACAAAATACCGACATGATAGTACTTGTCAACCATCATGGGAACTGAACTCAACAGTTGGGGCTTAATGACTATGCTATAGGCCAGGGAGGAGGCTCCTTCCCCTTTAAATAGACTTTTTCTCTCACATTTTTTATTGGTACATTATAGTTGTAGTGATGGGATTTCTTGTTACACATCTGTACTTGCACACAAGAGAACAATATAATTTGGCCAATATCACCCCCAGCTCTTCCTGCCTCCCACCCCTTGGTCCCTTTCCTCTACTGATCTCCTTTTGGTTTTCATGAGATACCCCCCTACATTTTTCTTTTTTCCTCTCTAGTTTCCATAATAAGAGAAAATATATGACCCTTAATCTTCTGAGTTTGACTTATTTTACTTAACAAGAGGGTTTCTGGCTCCATCTATTTTTCCTTCAAGTGACATAATTTCATTCTCTTCAGGGCCTCAGCAACTTAAAGATTTGGAATGTAGCTCAGTGGTAAAGTACACATGGGTTCAATCCCCAGTACCAAAGGCATAAGAAAGGATTACCTCTGGACTCTGTATAAAGGGCATCACTGAGGTGTGAAGGTGCCAGAGGCTGGAGATAGGATGAGACTGATGTTGAGGGGCTAAAGATGAGGGGTAAAGATCTCCAACCCCTGCTGAGAAAAAGTCCCAGGAAGGATCACAGCATGAGATGTGGCTGTGCACACCACATGACAGCTGACTGATCAGGACATTGAGACTGAATGCTGTACAATCATAAATTTCTGAGCTATAGAAATGATCTAAACATAAAATCAGTATTGCTTCTGTCTCCAGTCAGATTAAAAATAGAATTGGATGAATGCTGGTGGTTCCTTCCAGCCAGCTCTCCTAACCCTCTGAAGTCTAAGAACCCCTTTGGAATGTGCTTTTCCTCTTTCCTTTTTACTCTAACACCTTTTCCTACAGAGCTCTGGTCTTTCTACGTGGATTGGGCACCAGATGTTATCCTTGAGCAGCCTGCCGCCATGGGCTGTCACCCTGCTGGCATGTATCCTGGTGTCCATAGTCACAGAGTTTGTGAGCAACCCAGCCACCATCACCATCTTCCTGCCCATCCTGTGCAGCCTGGTAAGTCGAGCAGGGCTCCCAGGTGTCTAAACAGTTGTCATGGTCCTGCAATGGCAAGCCAGGCTCCAGGAAACAGCTTCTGTGGCTGTACCTTCTTCTCTGGTCACTGCCCACAACAGCTTTCACTGATTGGTATTCAAACCAAAATTTGAAAAAGTTTTCAAATAGCAATTAATAAATAAAAAGATACACTAATAAATCATAGTAAGAGCTGTGGAAATCCTTTTTCAAAAGATTAACTTAGGGGCAGCCCAAAATGAAAACAAGAGGATGGACAAAATAGCCAGGTGTGGTGGTGCACACCTGTCATCTCAGCTCTTGGGAGCTGAGGCAGGAGGATTGCAAGTTTAGCAAAACTCTGTCTCAAAATAAAATATAAAGGGCTGGGCACATAGCTCAGTGGTAGAAATCTTGCCTAACATGCACAAAGCTCTGGGTTTTACCCGACTGCCAAAAAAAAAAAAAAAAGAAAGAAAGAAAAAGTTAAAGAAAAGAAAAAGAATAGACAAAACAATCTTAAAACCCTAGAATTCCATTTCCCCACAATCCTCATCAACCTTCCCCTGCTAAGATAAAAACCTAGCAGTAGGGCCAAAGAGGTAACCACAGAAAATGGAGTCAAAGCACACACAGCTGCAAAAACCAAACCCACAGCTCTCAGGATCATTACTACCTCTGCCCAACTCCTCCAGAAGGTACTGAGAATTGGGAGCAAGGTCCTTTATTCCATGACCTCAGACCATTGGTTATGAATGGAACAGGGATAGAGGGCAACCGCCAGGTAATGAACTTGACCCAATGCAGCATATGTCCACACTGGGAGATGAAATCTTGGAAATGGAAGCCTTTTCCCCATCTTAGCAAAATAGCCTCTTCCTGCTCTTCTAACCCCAAACTCCCCTCTGCCCATTGGTCAACTCTCTCTGCCCATTGGTCAGATGTCTCTAACTTCTTCTATCACCTTGAGTGTGTGAGCTTGGGAGGGCACTCATTTAAAAGTTGACAACAGTGACAGCAATACTATGGGTTTGAATCCCAAATAAAACAATTATCCTCCCCAGAAAAAAAGCCCTCAGTTCTGTACCCCCAAGGGTGAGGGATACTTGTTTTAATCAAAACAGCTTATTAATGAGATTTTTTGTTTGTTTGTTTGAAGAAAGGATTTTTCAACTAAATAATAAGGCTTAAGAACCACTTCCTTAAAAAAGCATAAATTAAAATAATCAAATACTCATTCTAGAAAGTTCCTCAAAGCTTTAGCAGTTTGAGTTGCAAAGGGCAGCGCATGCCCTGCAGGGGAGGGAAACAACTAGCCCTGTCCAGTGAAGGCTAGACTGCACTGTGCCATCATTTAAAGCAAATTCATGCACAGGAAATGCGTGCCTAATGTCCAAGTTAACATTTTTGTGAATTCTCTCTTCTCCTAGTCTGAAACGCTGCACATTAACCCACTCTACACCCTGATCCCAGTCACCATGTGCATCTCCTTTGCAGTGATGCTGCCTGTGGGCAATCCTCCCAATGCCATCGTCTTCAGCTATGGGCACTGCCAGATCAAAGACATGGTGAGTTGCAGGTGCCTGCTTCCGCCAAGTTTAGCCACCATGAGGGTGGGCAAGACTGGCTGCAGGCCTTCTCCCAAGGTTTCTTTTTTTGTAGCAGTATCTATCACCTGTTAACATCCTATCCTTTGTGGTAGAAAGAATGATACCCGTAAAAAAGTTCTTGGATGGTACATAAGCTCTAAGAATAGCAATAATGTGCTCTCCCCAGTTCTGGAGAAAAGTGGGCAGATGGATAGAAAAAGCTGGTGCAGGCACTATGTGTGGCCCAGTTCCAGAAGCCATGAGCTTACACAAATCTCTGCCTCCATTTCTCCATTCTTCTTTCTCCATTTCATTGGACTATTGGGGACATTCATTCAAAAAGCCACTGGTTTGGGGTAGAGTGCTTCTTTTGCATGCACAAGGCCCTGGGTTAAATCTCCAGCACCACACACACACAGACACACACACACACAAAAAAAAAAGAAAAAGAAAAAAAAGAAAAGAAGGAAAAAGGCACTGGTTTATTCACAAAAAATAGAGTATAAGAAATATGAGGGCTGGGAATGTGGCTCAGGTGGTAGCGCGCTCGTCTGGCATGCGTGTGGCCCAGGTTTGATCCTCAGCACCACATACCAACAAAGATGTTGTGTCTGCTGAGAACTAAAAACTAAATATTAAAAAAAAAAATTTAAAAAAAAAAGAAATATGAATCTAGGGTGAACGTGTTTTGTAAGAGCAGGATCCTTCTACTTGACTCTTTCCCCAGTAAGAAAACACTAAAGCAACAATGAAAAAAAAAATAAGGCATCACTTTTTATTTCTAATTGTCAGTTGGGCTCAAAAAAATAACTTTGAGGAGCCATTTTGCCACTGACTCAACCACTCCTCAACTCCTCAACCAATACTCACTGCTGTTCTTAATATCTAGCTGGGGAAAGGATAAACAAACTGATAGAAATGAGGCTTGACCATCGGATACAGAGAGAGGCCAGTCACCCTGAGGTGAAAAAGAAATTTTTCACTGTTGAAACTTGTTCTCAGCAGACCTGTAAAATATCAAATGAAGAGAAAGAAGAAAGTGTTTCAGGTTGGAAGCAGATTCAAGTTGCTTATCTATATCATCTGTGCTATTTCAGGGACAGGAAGTCACCGCTGTCCTTCATTCCTGCTCCCCAATCTTCTCACATACCTCTGCCCAGCTCTTTTGCCTCTGCTTCCTCTGCTGTGTGCCCCCACCGCTCACCTCTAGCCATTTACACTGGAATCCAGTGATCAGAGACAGTCCTTGTCAAAGGCACTGAATGACAAGAAGCAAGCCAGTCCTGGGTTCTAGTACCATGCGGGGTTAATTCCAGACTTTAATTTCCTCATCTGCTAACTAAGGAGGTTCCAACTAGAATCCCTCTGTAGTCCCTTTCAGCTCTAAAGGACCTTAATTTAGCTCCTTAGAACATGTTGAGAAGCACAGGCTGTCCTCCATGCCAAAAGACCCAGGGAGCCAGCCTGACTGAGGGGTCCATGGCTCCAGCTAGAGGGCAGGACAGAGGTCATGTCTACTTATTTGTTTGGTATAATTTCCTAGCATCTGTTTTTTCCCTTTAATTTCCCCAACTTGCTGGCAGCTAGGGGACCTGTTTCAGCTACAAGCTGTGTGCCTGGCTACTCCCTGGAAGGATGCCACCTGTCCTCACGGTACACATTTTTCCAGCTGGCCCTGGCTTAGCCGCCCATCATCCCTCACATCACCCTTCAGCTTGTCAGTGTCAATGACAGTTCAGAAACGAAACAGGTCCGACTCAGTAAGGTAAAATTCCCAAGGGAAGAAGCAAAGGCCCCGATGCTGTTAGTAAAGGGCTGAGCAGAGGCAGCAGACTTGCTGCCCCAGGTGACCCAAGACACTTTACTTCCCTAAGTTGTTCCCTGGAGGGAAAAAGGTAATAGTGGCAAAGCCTTCAATATAATATAACCCCTGCAAGTTCCTTGTGTGTATGAGCACATAAAGCTCTGAGAAGTTCCTTCTTTAAGCTGTTTAATTTTGTTAACACATTTCACTGCAAAAATAACTCTCAACATCCTAAATAACTAACAGACTTCCTGGGATTCCACTTCCTAGAAGGAAGACTACAGGCAAGAAGTGGAGATGATTCTAATTGTCCTCACCCAGCCCTAATCCCTATTTTTCTGGTCCTTCCACGGTCCTGTGCCACCCCATAATGCAACACTTGAGCATCCCAAGCAGTCAGTGAACAATCAGGGCCACCTGGGTGGAGCAAGGCTTAGCTGGGAACCCAGGAAGTGCTCACTTAGGGATCTGTGCTGGCTTGTGTCCTGCAGGTGAAAGCTGGCCTGGGAGTCAATGTCATTGGCCTGGTGATAGTGATGGTGGCCATCAACACCTGGGGCGTTAGCCTCTTCCACCTGGACACTTTTCCAGCCTGGGCGAAGGTCAATAACATCACCAATCAGGCCTAACACAAGTGGACAACCTGGCTCAGTTGAAGGAGTTGCGCTGAGCACAACTTGAACCACAGGCAAAGAAAATTACCAGGAGCATGCCCCAGAAACACACTGAAGGCAGCGGTGCCAGAAGATCCTGCCATCTAAATCTTGAAGTGCAGGGACCCTGCAATCACCACAGGCATGGGCTGGGCGGTTGATGTCTTCTTCCCTGGCTGCCTACCTGCCTTAGCATCACAGCTCAAGAAACCAAAAACTGATCTTTCTTCCTTGGGTCCAGTCTTTCCAATCTACTCTTCCTAAGACAGGAAAAAAAGAAAGCCTGTCTTAATTGCCCCTGAAGGGCGAAGCCTCTCAAACTGACTGGCCTCACTAGGTTTTGTTATTTGTAGTGCCTCCTTAGGAGTTGAAGGAGATATGCACATCGTTCTACCTATCCAGATGGTGAAAAGAGCAACTCTCTTTTGGGGGAACCTTACCCAGAACTTGAGCCATCTCAAGTTTTCTATCCTAAGTTCTCTTCACAAAAAAAAGCCTCTTTTTATTACTATCTTGATTCAGTTTTAAAAAATGGCTTCCATCTTTCCAATGGCTCCCCTTTGACACCAAATTCTGTAAAGAAATAGTGTTCCTCTTTAGAAGAAAAGCTGGTATTATTCACTTTATCAAAGGAGAAGGAAGTAGAAAAAAGACACATTGAATTAGCTTCTTTCTCCACTAACTGGAAATACCATTGCCTTGGCTACAGGTGGGGAGGGAGGGAAAACATTCATACCTGTCTTGTTAGGGAGACCAAAACTATAATTAAGACCACATCACTTTTATTGGTATCATGCTGGCTTGCTTCTGGATTTAATGAGTAGTTCATTTCTGAGAAGACAAAGTATGTAAGTACAACCCAAAGGTCCAACATGCCAATCACTTCTTTCCTGTTGGTAAGCCCCCTGAGGGGAAGGAGATACCTGCATCTCTTGAATTCCCCTGGCAACTTCTATGATGTAGTAAGCTGTACCTGTTCAATAAATGCTCCCAATAAGATTCACTCTGCAAGGCAAGGCCTTATTCCTCCTGTAGATCAAGCAATTTTTTTCATGAGATGTCCTTGTTGCATGGCTGGATATAGCTCTCTATCCCTCCAAGTTTGTTGTCATTGAGTATTTCCAATTTCAACAGTCAGTTGCTTACTTAATACTTCTTAAGGAAAAAATAGTCCCCCATAGTTTTGCACTGTAGTAATAATTTTAAGATACTGTCAATATCATGTGCAGTTTTCCCAAAATAATTTATCTATAAAATCACTTCTTTAGTTTATCAAGTGTCTGAGTTATAAAGTTGTTTTGTTTTTGTTTTGGATTTTTTTTTTTTTTTTGTATGTGTGTGTGCCAGTTAACACACTCCAACCACAGAGGGGCTAGAACAAATCCCCTGTGGATTCAAAATGTGATTGGCCATGTCTAACTGGGAATGTTACTGCTTTTGTCCTGCTTATTAGCTTAGTGGATATCTGGCCAATTTTAAAAGTAAAGATCTCAGGGATCAAATGAAATGCCCATTGTTAGGTATGCTACAACTGGTTTGATCAAGTCAGCATCCCTCCAATCAATCTGCTTCAAAGGTCAGGGTGTTGTTACTATTGTCAAGGCAGCCAAATCATCATATTTCTCAACCCTACACAGACCCTATGCCAAGTCAGAAAACAAGACAAAGGCACAGAAAATCAGTAAGATTCCAGGAGTGTAAGTATAAAGAGAGAATAAGTTGACTCAGAACTAAGTATAAAGAGAATAAGATGACTTAGAACTTAAGTGGATTACTGGCCACTGTTCAGCACTGTTCAGCTACTTGGGACCCTGAGTCACTGCTAAAGGGGAAGCAGCGCCAATTTCCCACTGCAGCTGCAGCCAATGCTCCATTAGCAGAATGTATTCATCCCACTGGTTTAGAAAGCTCATTTGTTTCCATCTGTTCTACTGGCTGCTCTTAAGAACAGTACCATTTTTTCCTAAATCCAGATTCAAGTCAAATGAGATTGCCCATTCCAGTGACAGGAAATGGAAAATATAATTAATAACACCTAGGAGTTATTAATTATTAAGGTGCAGTGATTCATGACTGTAATCCCAGTGACTCAGAAGGCTAAGGCAGAAGGACTGAGTTCAAAGTCAGCCTCAGCAACTTACTGAGACCCTAAGCAACTTATAGAGACCCTGTCTCTAAATAAATTTTAAGGGCTGGGAATATGGCTCAGTGGTTAAGCACCCCTGGGTTCAATCTCCAGTACCAAAACAAAAACAGAAACAAAAAAACTCCTTGTCCTCCCATTGTTGGATAATTTTTAGCCCTTCTCAGTAGTCTTGTCTCTTCATATTATTTGATTTTTATCTTTTAATGTACATGGATGAAAAAGCTTTAGATGATCATCTTATACCAGGTAATTTTCCTGATGATGAAACTGAGAGTGAGGGCCACTTAGTTGCATCTTACTCTCAAGTCAATTACATATTAAATTTGCTCAGTCAAGGTTGTCTTTGAAATTCCTTTAAGTCACCAAAGTACATGGTATACAGTCTTACACTGGCATTTACATGTCACAAAGACTCATATTCCATCATGTTTCAATTTTTAAAAATTGCTACTTTTCCCTTCAATGTCAGAATAGATCCCTATTTTCTTTAGCTGAACATCAAATGAAGTATAGCTGCCCTCTGTATCCACAGGTTTTGCCTTAGTAGCTTCAATCATACTGGACTGAAAATATTTTTTAAAAATTGCATCAGTACTGAGCATGCAGACTTTGTTCCCTGTCATTATTTACATAGCATTTACATTGTATTGTTATAAGTAATCCCAAGTACACAGGAGGATGTTATGGGTTATATGAGGATATTATACCATTGCATATAAGGAACTTGAGCATCTGCAGATTTTGGTGTCCATGAGTGAGGAGGGGGGCTAGAACAAATCCCCTGTGTATACCAAATGAATATAGCTGGCCATTTGCATGTGGGGACTACATTGTTTGAAAAAATATTTCTATGAACATCCCACCATATTGCCAAGATGCTTAAACCATTAGAAGACAAAGGGAACTGAGACCCTGACTACACTGGTAGCTTACCCTGGGGCTGCCCTCACTGAAGGAATGCTGAGCACATCTCAACTGTTTACATGGCACCTTTCTTTTGTCCCAGTTCTGAACAACTGTACATGTATGACAGTGTGACTCCACTTTCACACAGTCCTATCACTGAGGCAGTGATTTTAGCAGGCCCAGGACCCAGGTTTTGCAACACTCCATCCTTGGTGGGCACTTTCCACAAAATCTCCCTTTTCTCAGTTCTCTTTTCTTATCCAGTGCCTTGTAGAACAAGCCACCCACCCATTAGGACTTTAGTACCTAACTGAATGTTGCAACCAAATTTAGGAAAAGTATAAGCTGAACATTTAAAATTTTAAGTGTCACATATTCCCTATAGGCAAGCCTCAAAATATTTTCCTTTTACTGCCCTGTTTCTTTCCATTAGGCAAGGCCCTAAAGTGGAGAAAAAGAATCCATTCATCTGCATAAGGAATGGCAATGCTACGTGCAAAACCCAGACTGGACGTTTCAGAAGTCTCATTTGCTCCAGTATAGTATACAGTGTTCCTTCAGGAGGAATAGCTCAGAAAAAGCACTTAAATATGGGAAACCTCAGCAGAAAAACAAACACCATTACAGTATCTAGGGCGTGAACTGCTCACTGGAAATGAAAACATTACACATATACATATGAACTAATATGTACAGACAACTAGGAAAGCCACACAGCTTCTCTGTAGTTATACAGATGAAAACTGAATTAGAAAAATAAAATTGCTTCTTTAACTGAGCAGATAACTGCCTAATTCTGTAAAATACCAAATAAAAAAAGTCTACAGATGTCAAGTAGTAAGTTCAACTCATAGAATTCTGCCCTTTTTTGACAATTTTATTTTTTTTTAATTTTTTTTTAAAGAGAGTGAGAGAGGAGAGAGAGAGAGAATTTTTAATATTTATTTTTTAGTTATCGGTGGACACATTTTTGTTGGTATGTGGTGCTGAGGATCGAACCCGGGCCGCACGCATGCCAGGCAAGCGCGCTACCGCTTGAGCCACAGCCCCCTTTTTTTTGACAATTTTAAATGATTAATTTGGTTTTATTTTGCTGCCTTCGATTATGTTTTGTTTGGGAGGGTTACATTCTAAATCTTTCAAGTTTAATGTACTTATTAAGTTTCCAATATCAATCCTGAAGTTTTCTATTTCATAATGGTGGACCTTCATTCTTCAAGGCTGTAGTTAATTCTGATTATTCAAGATCAAATTGTGAGTGAGGCAGTATGATTAAGGTGGATACTGTGAACTTTCATCAATATCTAACACCACAGAATAACACCACATTCTGCATGTTCATGCACTGGTTCCAAAAGTGATTGCAGAAATACAAAAATATCCTGACCAAAAGCAACATATTTGGACTAATATCTACTATTTATTGGACAATTTGCAAAGCACACCATATACATTATTTATTTCTCATGAAAATCCTATGAGGTAGGTATTACATCCAAATCTTACAGATTAATGCAGAGTTTCAGAAAGAATAAGCCATTTGCCCACTTCGCACTGCAAGGGAGAAGCCAAACCATAATTTGATCTTAATCTGTCTCACTGGAGGATGATCTTTACAGGGATAAAATTTATCATCATGTATGTTTTCAAAGAAAATCAGAATCACTTTATTTGGAATCACATATAGGGTTGGTGTCATCACTAAAACAAGTTGTCTCTAAGTAATCCTTCCAGTGTTTTCATTCTGCTAAAATGCCTTCAGAAAGGCATTACTGACAAAGCTACCCAACAAGCCCTCTGAAACAAAAAATGAAATGGGTATTTACCTCTATAAGTGCAAATATAGTTTTAGGACTTATATCTTACAGCTATACCCTGCAGAGGTATACATAATAACATTGGGTTTTATGTTATCATTGTAATAGAAAAGAATAATTTAAACAATCTTTAGTAACAGATTAATTATGGTTCATCCATTCAATAGAATTGTATACAGCCAAAAAAGAAGTAAGGCTTCTTGTTCCTTATATGCTGATACAGAATGAGCTCCATTAAGAAAAACAATTATGTATAGTTTGTTACCATTTGCATATAGACATGTTTAGGAAAAGACTCTTCCTCAAAAGTAAACTGGGAATGTGTAACAGTGACTGCCCAAGGAAGAAGAGCTAAAAATAAAGAGGATAGGGATGAGACAGGTCCTGTGTTTACATGAAATCACTTCTGTATCTTCACCCATTGGAAAAGTTACCTACTAAAATATTATTAATTAAAAAAAATTCAAATTATTTATGGGGCACCTATAATCCCAGCTACTTGAGAAGTTGAGGCAGGAGGATCACAAATCCAAGGCCAGCCTGGGCAAATTAGCAAGACCCTGTCTCAAAATAAAAGCTGGACATGGTGATGCATATCTGTATTCCTAATGATTTGGAAGGTTGAAAAGGAGGGTCTTAAGTTAAAGGTAGGCCTCAGCTATTTAGCAAAATCTGTCTTAAATTAAAAGGGCTGGGATATAGCTCAGTGGAAAGTGCTTCTGGATTCAATCTTCAGTATCACATACAAAAAAAAAAAGAAAAAGAAAAAGAAAAGAAAGAATTAAAAAAGGGCTGGAGATATACTGGTAATGTGTTGGCCCTGCATGTGTGAAATCCTGTGTTTGATCTCTAGTACTAGAAAAAAAAAAAAAAAAAAAA